ATAGATAGATAGATAGATAGATAGATAGATAGATAGATAGATAGATAGATAGATAGATAGATAGATAGATAGATAGATAGATAGATAGAACTATTTGAAAAGTACCAAAGCTTGGGCCAATATACTTCACAGACCCAGCACCGCACAACTGGCTTCCCTCAATATTGTTTAATTCCTTCTGGAGTTACCTGCGCAGGATATTAATTTTTCCATCACTGAGTTCTTGTTAGCGTTAGATTTAAAGTTTCTTACAAAATCGACAAGATTTGAACAGTCTCTGGATCTTCTGTTCCAAAGGCTGTCATATGATCTGTACATTTCAATGAATTGAAGAATATTCTTTTTCGACCGTGTTGTCATTTTGCAGTATGTTTCCCTGTTTAGCTTGTGCAGACAATCAAGTGTGTTCTTTAGATCTACTGCACATCGTGACACAGAGACCAACTCTGTACTGAACCCCTTCGCCTGCAATGAAAGCATAATATTATGTATGTAGAATTTTGTTTTCTCTTTAGTTCTTGAAAAAATACAAATTCTTCTCGGATCTTGACTTCATATTGGGTCGCTCGTTTAAAAAATGTAATCAGATTTTATGTGCCGTAAATCACTTAGAAAGTATTGGCAGTGACAAGATAAGCCGGCTGAACGTGCTGAACTGTAGCCAGAAAATCCAAACAGGTTGAAAATGCCGGTTCGGCCTCCTTGCTTCACTTTTTTTCTAGCAGTTTTTCATCCACATCTGTGGTTCTGCCGCCATGGTTGCCTTTCCATTCCGAACCAGCGGTTTGGAACGTACATATGTAGGGAGGCATGCCGTTAGTCACAGGCCCAGTATGTCACATGCTCAGTTAGTCACATGCCCAGTATGTCACATGCCCAGTTAGTCACAGGCCCAGTATGTCACATGCTCAGTTAGTCACATGCCCAGTATGTCACATGCCCAGTTAGTCACAGGCCCAGTATGCCACATGCCTTATATAAAAATAATGAAAGAAAAAAAAACCCAGGAAAATAACTTAGTTCAACGTTTGCATGCATCTACATAGGGTGACATTTGGTCTGTGATGACACTGGTATCCATAAGTACGTACATCGTATGTACAATTATTTGTTATTTATTTGTTCAATTTATATAATACACAAAATCCCACCTTCGCAATTAATTAATTGATCAACTTGCCATTTTGGTCGCAACATTACAATGCTCGTACCTTGCTTGTGAGCTAAGTTTACAATTCATGTCTTGCTCAAGGACATACTCTAGCAGCCAGCCACCAAAACACAGTGTTAAAACACACACACATGGCATTTTTGTTAGTTTCAATGATGATTTGGTCAATGCCATTGGAAGAATAAATAATAAAACAATATTATATAGTTGAAAATTTTCAAGTTTTCAAGTACAATTTTGGCTCAAAAGGTAGCTTCACAGTAAGTAATAACTTGAAAGTTAAAAGTTACCAATTTCTCTTCTTGTCAACTGCATGTGTAGAACAGGTCTGTATAAGTTTGCTAATATGGCTTCACATTTTTATTATCAACACATTTCACATAAAGAACTGTATTGCTATTTTGGTCCTCACACCTGAATGTATACACATGGACAACATCAACTGTTTCTAAATATGCAGTTGTGGCTGTTTAAACCGAACATGCTTCATTAGGAGACAGTACTAAGCTGAAAGAAAATAAAAAATACCAGATTTTTTTCTTCTTTTTGAGCAACCTTTGTAGGAAATCCGGCGAGCAGCAAATTCTGGTTTAAACAGACTCCAGTGATTTTAGCATTAAGGCATGTCACAGGTCTGCAAAACCCGATGTTTGGGTCAAAAAATTGATTTTTTACTTTCTCCATTTTTGGGTACCTGAATATCTAAAGAATCGATAACGCTTGATGTTTCATTATAAAAAAGTCAAGAATTCTCATTTATAGGCTTTTTCCAGAGGGCATCCTTAGTCAAAAGTTGGCGCCTT